CATCAGCAGCATCCTCAGTCCTGCTCCTCATCCTCCTCATCCTCCTCATCATCAGAATCATCGCCCTGTTCATCCACCACCCGCACCCCGACCTCCCGCGACCCACCTCTTGCCCCCCACCTCATCGCCATCACTCCCCCCATCCCCCCCTCCCCCCCCCCTCGCCACCCCAAGCCTCCTTCCCCACCATCCATCCTCCACAAATCCTACCGCCACCGCCGCCCCCCTCCTTCCAATATCCGAGCGTGGCCTGCCGCAACTTGATCGATGAATCGCGAAGCCTGCGGAGGTGCTTCAGCACAACGCACAGCTTCTCCGCGAGGCTGCCCGCCCTCTGCAGTGAGGGCATTGTCTCTGGCTCCCTGCAGCATCGAGGGAACCTGGGCGCGGGTGGGGGGGGTGTTGTTTGACACGTGCCAGGCCGACGCCATCCTGACGTCTGAAAAAGGCCAGGCTGACGCATGCCTGACGTTTGAAAAACGTCAGGCAAACGTCAGCCTGAAGTTTTTGAGACACCAGACCGACGCCAGCCTGACGTTTTACAAACGTCAGACAAACGTCAGCCTGATGTTGTGTTCAGACGTCAGGCCGACGTCAGCCTGGCGGTTTTCAGACATCAGACCGACGTCAGCCTGACGTTTTACAAACGTCAGACAAACGTCAGCCTGATATGGCGTTCAGACGTCAGGCCAACGTCAGCCTGACGTTTTACAAACGTCAGACAAACGTCAGCCTGATATGGCGTTCAGACGTCAGGCCGACGCCAGCCTGACGTTTTTCAGACATCAGACCGACGTCAGCCTGACGTTTTACAAACGTCAGACAAACGTCAGCCTGATGCGGCGTTCAGACGTCCATATTGTGGTGTTGGGTCCTCGCTTTGAAGAGACAGCGCCCATCGTCTCTTCCTCTCATCTCCTCATTCCTCCTTCTTACTCCTCCTTCTTCTTACTCCTCCTCCTGCTCCTCCTCCTCCTCTTCCTTTCTCCTCCCTCCTCATCCCCTCCTCCTCCCCCTCCTCATCCTCCTCCGCCTCCCCCTCCTCGTCCCCCTCCTCCTCCAATCTCTGCCTCTGCCACCCGCGCGCCCACCAATTCAGCGCACCCAGCACAGCGCTTCGTGGCCACATCGGAAGCTCCACCGAGGGCCCCAGGGGCTGCGCCCCCACCGCACCACCGCGCCCATTTCGGCACACCCCTCACACGTTTCGTGGCCCCATCGGCAGCTCCAGCGAAGGCACAAATGGCTGCGCTCACATGGCGCCACCGCGCCCATTTTGGCACACCCCTCACACGTCAGCCTGCGTGTGTTTGTTGCCCCTAAACATCCGACCGACATCTCCCGTCTCTTCCGTCTCTCCCGATATAGAAATGCAAACCTGCCATTCCTCCTCCCCCATCCTCCCCCCCCACCCTGGCTTAGCTGCCGCGGGCGCCTGTCGATCACATACAAACACGCTGCGCGCAGCTGGGACCACTTGATCTCAGCCGAGGGGATATTCTTCAGCAGCACCTCGACCAGGGGCATCATGAGGTGCAACGAGCGGGCATGCACAGCCCTGCCCCTGGTCAGGTACTGGTATGAGTGCAGAGCAAAGCTGGTTTTTGTGCCAGCACTGACGACATAACGCTTGAGCTCCTGGCCGAGACACGTGGCGTCCACATCAGCGACAGCGTGCCGCGTGGGCACCGCTGCTGCGGGGGCGACACTGCCAGCTGACATCTGCACGAACTAAAAGAGGTGCACAGGATGAGGCCACAATACAAAACGAAAAGAAAAAGGGAGTTCGAACAATAATGACCATGGGGATCACGAGCACGCACGCGCACACACAAGCACACACACATACACACACGCGCTGACCTAACACACAGTGAACACACCACACCATCTGAATACACTGTAACATTAGCTACCGTGTGTGTCTTGCAGATGGCGTGCGAGTTGTGTGTGTGTGTGTTGTTGTTTCTTTTCGCGTTTTACACTGTTTGGGGTCCACGCGCGTACACTATTTGGGGTCCACGCGCGCACACTGTTTGGGGTCCACGCGCGCACACTGTTTGGGGTCCGCGCGCGTACACTGTCTCGGGGTCCACGCGCGTCGGGACAGCAAGATGTGGCGCCCATGTCCACTGGCCGTAACCTCACTCGCCACCTGTTTGGGGTCCACTGGCCGTCCACTGTTCGGGGTCCACGCGCCTGTTTGGGGTCCACTGGCCGTCAACTGTTTGGGGTCCACTGGCCGTAAACTGTTTGGGGTCCATTGGCCCAATAACTACGCTACACTGCATGATAGCCAAACGGCCCAGACAGGGGGGGCGCAGGTCGGGATGACGCCCAGAACCCTGCAGATGGTTTGGGGGCGCAGGTCGGGATAACACCCAGAACCTTGCAAAGGGGGCTTTAGGGACGCAGGTCGGGATAACGCCCAAAACCCTGCGAATGATTGGGGGCGCAGGTCTGGAAACACCCAGAACTCTTGCGAGTTAAAACACAACAGCAAGGACCATCATCAACATTGTTGCCCTCCCCCTTTTCGTTTCATGCCTATTACCGTCCTCCTCATCATTCCCCTCACCCCCCCCCTTCTCGCTATACTCTGCCCTCCCCCTCCGCGCCTCCCCGCTCGCAGTGCCACGA